TATGGAAGGAGTTCGAAAAGCTAAGGAGTTGAACATCAAGAAACTCATAATTGAAGGGGATTCAGAGGTGGTGATAGGATGGCTGTCTAAAGATCAAAATGGKTWATGRAAGTATAACAATGAGAGGAGGAAATTCATGTGGCTGGTGCGGGAGATGGAAGTTAAGACATGTTGGGTTAAAAGATCGGCTAATTCTCAAGCTGACAGTTTAGCTAAACAAGGGGCAGAAAGGGACACTGTTTTGGGCTAAGATGTAACTTGAGTGTATTCTTTTCTCTTTTTCTTCTTTTTTCTTTCTTTTATGAGGCTCTTAGTGACTCTTGGAAGATAAGTGTGTTTATCTTCCTCCTATAAATTTTCTACTGATGATTAATGAAAGTGTTATTGATCAAAAAAAAAAAAGTGGTTGTTGGCAGGCTGGGAGTTGACTTGGATCGCAGGGGAAATGAGGCAAGTGTAGTTGAAAGTGTTGATGTTCTGTTGACCCCAAAGAAGATCAGAACTTCAAGCAAAGCTAAACGTTGTTCACATCATGACGGTCTTTCCAAGGCTAAAGGAGGGTCTGGTGGGAACTGGGCCGACAAGTAAGTATAAAAGGATTTATAAAAGAAGAGGGGTTAAACTAAGTTCTGAGTCATGAGAACCCTTGCTCGGAATCTTCACTCTCATCCAAGGGGGGTAGAAAGAAGCCTCTCAGGATGGTTCTAGTCAGGAGAAGCCGATTAAGCCTGACTTGTCAGAAAAAGCTGTTAGGGATGAGTCTGATTTGAAAGAGGTCTCTGCTAAGGTGATGCTGAAGGAAAAGGAAATAAAGAAAGGAAGCGTGGATTTGAAGATGCTAGTTGACAGAGAAGTGGAAATTGGTAAATCCTTGGGCTTGTTCTTCTTAGGGGGAGAAAATGTTGTAAGAAAAGCCTTGAAGCATACGTGAGGAAGAGGAAAGAAGAACTTGAGAAAGGTCTCTGAAACATTAGGGGGGGAAAGAAGCCGATTAAGCCTGGCTTGTCAGAAAAAAGCTGTTAGTGATGAGTATGATTCGAAAGAGGTCTTTGCTAAGGTGATGCCGAATGAAAAGGAAATAAAGAAAGGAAGCGTGGATTTGAAGATGATACTCGACAAAGAAGTGGAAATTGGTAAATCCTTGGGCTTGTTCTTCTTAGGGGAAGAGAATGTTGTAAGAAAAGCCTTGGAAGCATATAAGAGGAAGAGGAAAGAAGAAGGCTTGAGAAAGGTCTAGCATTAGGGGGAGAAATTTGGGATGAGGAGGGAGGCCCAGAAGAGTTCCGTGAGGTGGAAGATTGACCTGTGCCTAGCATTTGCATCACTTTGTTGTAGGGCTGTTCACAAATAAATTCAAACCGACCAACCCGGCCCGACCCAACTCGATTTGGCCGGTTTTTCTTCACCACCGGTCGGTTTCAGGTTGGAAAGATGGGTAAACCGATAATTCGGTTCGGTTTTCACACACGAAAACCGAAACCGAAACCGAAACCGAAACCGAAACCAAATCGAGTTATCTATAAATATATTCTCACTGAAATGTTATATATAATATGTATATTCCAAAACATATATTTCAGTTTAAAATGTATTTCTAATAAATATATTCTCACTGAAATATTATATATAATATGTATATTTCAGTTTTAAATATATATATATATATATATATATATATATTGGTTTTAAATATATATATATATATATTGGTTTTAAATATATATATATATATATTTCTGAAATGTATATTTCAGTTTTAAATATTTTTCCAGAAAATATATTCTGAAATATTATATATAATATGTATATTTCCGATATATATTTATTTAAAGCTGAAATATATATTTCAGAAATGTATATATTTAAACCAAAACCGACCTAAATCGAGCAGGTCGGTTTTGCTTAATAGAGGGTCGGTTTCAGTTTAATCTTTAAGTAACCCGACCAGGTCGGGTCAGTTGAAAAAAAACTAGTAAACTGACCCAACCTGACCTGTGAACAGCCCTACTTTGTTGTTGCGGTTGTTGTGTAAAAGTGATGGGGCTCTCTTGCTTTCTTGTCTTTTGTGGTTCTTGGTGTTTGGTAGTAGTAGTTTTGATTTGGGGGGTGTTATCTTAACACCTGCCTTGAGGTTGTATTCAGTTTCTTTTTTCTTTTAATATATATTTTTTTCTTTTTTACCTATCAAAAAAATTGTTTATTGTTGAAATCTCTACTTTTGTTAATTACGATTTGCTAGATTTTCTTTGATAAATTCTCTTTTAGATTCCCTTGCATTCAGGTCATCATAAGCGTACTTCATATTAAAAAGGATACCAGACATCTTTTTTACAGCCATATTGCTAACAACCTAAAGCTATTGTTTGCCATTAGATATTAAAGAGGAGAAGTAGAGTTTTATCTTTTGTGGATGCACAATTTGTCAAGTTGCACTAATGTAAAGATCACCTTTTTTTTATTTTTTTATAGGGTCAAAACCTGGGACATCTATTTTTCCTCGGTCCACTGAGGTGAGTTCTCTTACTTTTATGGCTATGTGGCTTTGAGTCTAAATTACATTCATGCTCATTGTCTTGTTTGCTTGCTTCTGGTTGCAGAGGCCATTTACTGGTGGACCATCTGCAGCATCCAATAGTTTTGGTTCCCCGTCTTCCCTTTCTGAATCCAGCCCGTTGGGATCAACTAACAAACTGCCCATAACTTCTTCCAGCTGCAACTTCTCCAGTCGACGTTTTTTCATATCAAAACCAGTTTATCCTTTGGTATTCCACAATCCTGTGTCAGATTGTGAGCCTTCTGTTTCTGCTGATACAAGCAGCATCAGTAGGTTTATACCTAGTGAGAATAGAACTTCACCATCTCATTGGCCCGAGAACAGCTCAGGTCTCTTCCAGAAAACCCTCACTGAGCTCCAGAAGATGGACGGTTCCCCAGAGCCCAGCACAAGCTCTAGAAGAGAGGGTTTCAGGTTGAGCATTGCTAGTACCGATGACATAGGATATGATGGAGGAGAAGGCTTTGATATATCAGAGCACATTGATTTGGACCTTGGATCGCCAAACTACTCTACAGGGGATCAGAAATGTGGACTTTGCGGAAGACTTCTTTGGCAGAAGTCCCCATGGAGCTCCTATCGAATTGTCAGAGGTGGTGACATGCCAATTGCTGGGGTCCTTCATTGCAGCCATATCTTCCATGCAGATTGCTTGGAGCAAGCAACACCAAAGACCCAGATTCATGACCCTCCATGCCCTTTATGCCTGAAAACCAGTGGTGTGACAGATGAATCTTCACCAGTTTCTGAGCCACTGCATATGGCCTTGAGGTCAATACGGAGGAACAGAGGGGTCGTAATCTCTGATGCTCAAGGGAGTAAAAGTAGTGATCATCACAGTTCAAATCATTCTGGGGTTGGATTGCAGAGAAACCAGTCTCATCCGGTGGCACGAACTAGTAGTTCCTTGTTAAAGAATCAAATTAAGAAGCATTTGACGTTTAAGGGGAAAACAGGAAAGGATTTCTTTGGCACGAAGGTGTTCCGCAGAATGGGTCATCACCGTCGAGCCAGGACCCAGTAGGCATAGTATGCTTAAGATCCATCTGATCTGGTGAAAGTAGTTGATTTCTGGTTATATTTCAGTTGCAAGATTTTATGTGGCAGACGTGTGTTATATATGCTGGTTTTGGCTGTTTTCTCCCATACATCCCTTTTTCACTTTTTCCTCCCCCCTCCTCAGTAAGTCTTGTATACTAAAACTTAAGGTTTTCACTTTTCAGCCATCTGATCTGATAAAATTCTTTTCTGATGGCGACGAACGTGAGGGGATTGTTTTTTATTTGGGCTACGTTCTAACCCTTTTCCACCTTTCCTAAAGAAAACAACATATAAATAACTGATTAACCATTTAATTTATGATCATCTCATCAGTCACTCGTGATCCATGGTCTGTCTTTGATGCATGTTCATAGAGATCGTCTTCAGTCAGTGCAAGCCTGTACTCACACCATTCGAACAGTCTCTTGCAACCTTACATTGAGAATATTTCCATAAAGCACAGAAATATGGAGATAATAGTCCGAACTCATGTTCCTATTCATTGCCATTCATTCAGACTTCAAGCCCTTGGCTCAAAGGACAAAGGTGTGTTTGTCTTTTGACATGGAGGGGGCTTGTTTTGGTACTTATTTTACTTAACATGGGCATTTGTAACAGCAAAGTGAGAATGGAGATTAGAGAAGGCCATCCGCCCTTAGGGATGGCAATTTCCACCTTATGATTTGGGGGATTTTACAACCCCTTTGGGTATGACTCTATCCACCCTCTCTTACCCTCATGTAAACTTATGTATCATGTGTTGAAATTAATAATGTTTTGAGTGTTTTGCAAAGGATAATTAATAATTATGTGTTTTTTAACCTGTTTCAATCAAATAATTGAAAATTTTGATATTTGTTCATATTATTTTGCTTACTTATTACTTATACATAATAGGAAATAACAGAAAATTAAATGTAAGTATTAGATTAAACCTATCAATCCAACTTGCCTCACCCTTCAATGCGGGAAGGGCTTTTGCATTTTCATGTACAAGGAGGGTTTGGATTTTGAAAATTCAACATATTGCAGCTCTTGGAGAGGATACTTGTTGGGAGGTTTGGGGAAGTGGGGATGATTTAGAATTTACAAAACCCTCTCTAAACTTGCCCGTTGCCATCCCTATCTGTCCTATTGCCAACCACCATTGAAGAAGTTCTATCACCCATGTAGTGATATACCATGTGGCAATAATCTGGGTAGTTTAGTTTGCATTTGAATTTTAAACGGTGGAGCCTGTGTTGTGAATTGTGACTGAGATACGGAGAATCTGAGATGGATGGATGAATGGATGATCAATGATCTCAAAAGAAGTCGGCCATTAACCATGCGCATTCATCTTAAAAAGCTTCCACCGTGACCCAGTGCCAGAGCCTCCTACTTGTGAGTTGTGACTGTGACTGTGCGTAAGTGTGAGTTACCACTTTCCATCTCTTGTCATGTGATTGCCATTAAGGTTGCTCCACCGCTCCCAGTCACTCCGTTCACGTTCTGACTCTTCTATGTTGCCTACCAGTCCCAGTTTCCTCACTTCATTCTTCACTTTAATCCCCTTTTGGTTCTCCCTTTCAACCCAAATTTCTCTTCTACTTGTACTACTTCCTACTTCTACCCTCCTTTACCCATTCACCAACAAAACATCATCGCCCATGAAGGACTTGTCCTTTTTTCTCCTCAAGAACTCTCTGGGAGCCAAGATGAAGAAAGGCTTCCGAAGCTTCTGCAATGGTGTTGGTTCTACCTCCACACTAAACCAACGGAAGACCGACTTTTCTTCCTTCATCACCCCATCTCCCATTACTTCCCCCTACTTGGATTACACCGATAAGAACCCACCACCGACTTTGGAGGAGATGATCTTACAGCTAGAATTGGAAGAGGAGGCAGCAGCAGCAAGGAGGAAGGCCAAGGTCGATGACTATGACGTCTGTCGACGTAGGATGTCGTGTGTCGACAGCTCTGATATTCTTTGTTCTGCAAGGAACGCACTGAATCAGTACCCACGATTTTCTCTGGATGGTAGGGATTCCATGTATCGATCTTCATTCCGCAATTTCAGCCCAGGCCCAGGTGGTGGTGCTAGTTGTTCTAGGAGCGGCTGTAAGGATGGACGGAAATCAGTATGTTGTCCCGGCGGTGGTGGGCTTGGAGTTGGAGGGAGACTTTATAGCAATGGCTTTGAGTTGGATCTGGAGAGAACCCTTGGTCTACCTCCCACTTTAGCTGGAGAGAGCGTGGTTTGGTGCAAACCAGGTGTTGTGGCCAAGCTGATGGGTTTGGAGGCCATGCCGGTACCTCTCTTTACTAATAGAAAACACAGTAAAGAGAGAATGAGCTCATCTGCTATCAGGAGGGAAAACCTTAGGAGAGCTGAGAGACGGGAATTGGAGAAGAGAAGGCAGCTGGGCACGTCTGGTTTAAAGGGTAGCAGGGGAACTGGGAGGGAGAGTCTGACAGTGACAGGTTCTTCTTCCACCACTGCAGCTGGTTATTGCTTCATGAGACCAATTGCAGTAGAAGCCACAAGGAGTAGAACAGATTGGCAAGCCTGAGGACAGGCTTTAATTTATACGTGCAACAGGATTTGAGTGGAGAAACCATATGGGGTTGGGGGTTGTGTACATATGTCAAGTGTTTTACATTGTACAAATTAGACAGTAGTAACTAAATCTTGGTTCCATGTCTCATCTGATCTGATCTGCCAACTACTCTGAAATCTGAATTGGGTTGAAAAATGGGTTAAAAGGCCACTACCCAAGCCCAATGTCGGTCCCAGCTATCTGGGTCTTGGGAGGGGTAGACTGGGTAAGGGTCTAACCTTTGATATTTTATTTTATTTTGTACAAAGTGGCTGCGTTATGTGTTTTTTTGAATGATCTACATGTTTCTTTTTTCTTTTTTATTTTAATTCATGGGGCTAACTTGGGTTGGGTTATTTAATGGGCCCAGACCTTAATCTGAGCTTGATAGTTGAAACTCCTCAAGTTGGGCAATCGGACTTGCAGCCCTACCCATACACTCCTCCACTCAACCCAAAACCCTGGTGATAGAGGGATTTGATCCCAAGTCAAGTTGATAAGGATAGTGGTTAAGACTTAAGACAATTGCATTACATATACAGGGTGTTTGGTTTCGTGGGCGTTTATTTCAATAAACGCTGTGATATAGGCGCCACTTCAGCAGTTCTCCTTTCTTGTTCTTCTGTACGCATTGAGAATGGCAAAAGTAGACTTCGTTTTTGTGTATGCCTACCTTTGGAAAAATTCTTTTTTAAAACTTTACATATGGTTAGACGTTTTTTCATTGTTATGCCAATGTGGTGCCTAGTGACAATTATAAACGGTTGTAATTATTACTTTTCTCGATTTTATAAGCAAATAAAATACAAACATTGAATGAAAAAATATAAATGAAACCAATCACACATAATTTCTAGATTGAAATATAAGCAAGCATTCGTTGCCAAGGGTAGCTCCACCAGAAGCTTTTACGGCGGAGTAGTATCTACAGCTAAAAGACAGAGGATGAGAGGAAGCCGCAGTGAATATGCACAAGCAAGAGATTCCATTCCATTCCACGATTCATTGCAAATGTCTATGTTATGTATCATTATTGATTTTTCTCAGTATTTTTTGTCCTTTAGGCCTGGTTTGTTTCCAGTGCAATTCCATTTGTATTGGTGCAATTCTATTTTCTCTGGAATTATTTGCGTCTGAGGCTGATAAAGATTGACAAACAAACCTTTTCTTCATCCAGTCATTTCAACCCTTGAATGCCCCTTGTATTTTTCTGATTTGCCCTTTCACTTCATCCACTACTTCAAACTTGACAACTTGTGGTTCGCCACCCAAAAGCTTGGTTGACAAAGCCTCAGCTGCCATGGCTTGTAATTAGGTGATCCAACCTTTCCTTTGGTTGTTTCAGCATCTTCTCCTGCCTTCTATCTAACATACCAATTTGGCTTCAAGGCAAACAAAGCATTCTTTTTCTCACAATTGGGCTCTGATAAAAATGTTATGGAGAGAAGGATTGAAATGGGTATGAGATGAACAAAGAAGAAAAAAGGTTTTAAGTTTCTTCTGATACCAAAGGATTGAATTGGATTAACAGAAGAGGAATTCGAGAGACCAGTTAATAGACTAAAGGCAATTTCCACAGATTCAAGCACATCCTATTCTTGCTTAAAACAATTCAAAGAACCCATCTACCCTTCAGAAGGTTTTAATCAAGTTTCAGCCCAAAGTTTGGTTTGCAATAGAATTGAGATATTCAACAATCAACAGGCTTCAACTTTACCAATGAAACAAAAAAAAAGACCAGCACATTATTTTAAAATATCTGTTATAAAAGTACAATATTTTTAGTTATTACTTCAAGAAATATTCATGTGGGCACCATTAGACTTTTTATGTTTAATTTCTGAGCTGATCATGTTAATCGTATTATACAATCTTATGCTTAAAGGAATCAACACATGCAATTTAATTCAGAAAACCACTGTCAGAAATATTGCAATTGGGTATCTTTTAAAGTCAAAGCATTAATAAATAGGGTTTATTTGTAAACAAATCATCTAATGACAGAAGAGCAGATGTTGAGAGCTCATCAACAAAGGAACTTTACTGGGCAACTCTGGTACAACTGTACCCAGGCCATATTAGGCAAATGGAACACATTATTTTTCAATAAGAATTGTATAAGTTGTAGAGCATTTCAACACAATAAATACCCTCCTTTTTTTTAAACAAAAAGTTTTAAAATTGTTTCGGTTGTAATCCTGTCCTGATTATGTGAAAAGAATCTAATTGGTTAGCAAATTAATACATCTGATTGGGCTTTTAATGCAATAATCTCTTTCTTTCCCCTCAACAACAATAACAACCATAAATAAATAAAAAAAGAAAAGAAAAGAAGGTCACATATATAAGGTACCATGGTACAACTACTATCTACGGCATCTGCATGTGCCCACTTGGGAAAATTTTAAGCATTCCTCATCTTCTTCAATGGAGGTTTGTTTTTTCAGAATATGTCAGATGTTGAGTGAGGATGTCTACCGCCAATCCGCCAATGGTAAAGATTCAACTGCGCTATTGGGTTTGTCATTCACTAATCGGGGTATCTGAATTCAGTAACTCTGTACATGGGCCAAATCGATAAAATATGAAAAACCCATCTGAATTTATTTGGACCCAATCACTTGAAATCAGAGGATCTTCATATAGTATCCATAATAGCATATAGCCAGATATAAATCTGGTTGCATTTACAACCTGAACTCCACCAACACATCATTTGGATTTTGGCCCATTGTTCATCCAATCCTTTTTCTCTTTCCTTCTTTAGGTTAATGTGGGCCAACCTCCACCTGGTTTATGTTTCGGTTGGGTTAGGCGGGTTTGAAACTTTGAATATGGTGCATTAATATGAACCAATTTGGGGGAAGTTAACAAATTTTGTGAAATTCTTTGAAGAACATTTCCTCCACTTTCTTATTTCTATCAAACCAAATATAGCCCAAGTCATCACTGAGTAGTCCCTCAAATTCTTAAAATATGGGCGAAAGCTTTGGTTTGTTTGGGGCTGGCTATAGCCTATAGGACCACAAAGACAGTCTGTGTAAGCCCATAACTCACTGCTGCCCTAATTTTAATTAGGGGAAAAGGTGAGAAAGCCTTACTGTTTTTGGGCCTTTTTTGGTATTAATCACTGCATGGCACCCCTTAAATCTGCATTTGGAAAAGATGCAAATAAGTGTGAATGCAAATATATAGAGTGTAAAGCAGTTCATATAAATTGCAAAATTGGGCTAGTTTTGCACTGACAGATTTACCTTCTTACCCATGGTTTTCAAAACTGGACCGAACCGGAAAAACCGGGAATCGGTTGACCGGTTCCGTTTTTCCCCAAACCCGCTTTTCCCCTCAAAACCGTTGATTTTGGTCAGCAAACTGCTGAACCGGCTGGTTAACCATTCAAGCCATTCGAACGGTTTTGACTTTTTTTTCAAACTTTTTAATTTTTTTTTTCAGAATGGGCTGGCCATTTGGGTCGAACAGTCGGACCGTTCGAACCAGTAACCGGACCCCTGACCGGTTCGGTCACCGATTCGGTTTTAAAAACCATGTTCTTACTTAACAGACTTTTATCTGTAATAGGTGCAAATATGAATGCAAATTTACTTCTTTAATATTGACGTACTTTTACATCTTATTATCAATGTAAATATGCATTCATCTATCATTTATCAATGCATAAATGTAATATTGCCAAATACAGGTAAAAATGAACCAGAGTGCAAATATACTCTGAACTGGGATTTACACCCCATTTGCATCGTTTCAAAACGCAGCCTAAAGGTCGTTACTCTTTTAAGTAAACAGTGCAATATCACATCAACAGCTCTTTTCTTTAATAATAGTGGATTCAAAAACCACACCACGGTTAGTAGTATGGAACAATTCATCTGGCGCACCAACTGAGTTATCTCTTAATTGGTTACTATTCAATGTTTTGTGCTTTGAAACTTGTCATCCCCAAATTTTACTTCATTTAATTGGACGGTGGAGGAAGGAGAAACTTGTTACAAATCATCTGATTTCACTCAATTTTGGCCAGCTTGCCCATGCTTATTTTAGTGCCACCCAACCCAAAAGAGTTGTGGGTTTTTTTCCAGGCAAAAGAAGCAGCTCCATTATAGTCCATTCCAACCTTGGAATCAGTTAGCAGGTCAGGTTGAGGCTGAGACAGTTCCAACACCTAATTAACTTCTTTTGGGTACATACATGGCCGGCTACAACAATTACGTTACGTACATGGCTGAAGGAGTGCAACGGCTGTCGGCAGGGCGATGAGCAATAGCAACCACAGCAAAGCGGTCCCCTATGGCTGGCTGTGGGGCTGTGGGCACTTGATTCTAAAGCTGGAATCATGCGCCCACACTTAGAGCCACTTGGGGGCTTGCATGCAGAGGCTTTCAAGCTTCAAGTCAACCAGGCCATTAAATTAGGAGGGCCCTAGCACATTGGCTGGGCCTCACTCCATGGGCGTCTCCCGGTTTGGGCAAGTGGGGCTCTTGTTCATTCTACTCTATCACACCATACTTGATACTCCTTATCCACATATGGTTGCATAATGCAGAAGAATTCCTCTCTCTCTCTCTCTCTGGTCTAATTTCATACAACTAGCGTGCTTGGTGCTTGGAGTTGGAGATAGACTGATGTCACTCAAAATCATGGGAAAGCTGGACTTTTGGATCAAACGTGGGCAGATTTCATGCAGTTGAGACGTCTTAACTTAGCTTTTTTAGACACATACCCTTTGCTTTTCAACCCATCTAGACTTTTCAATTTCAAGTGGCCATGTGATCCCATGTGCAGTTTCTTATTTTATTCTCCGAATTGAACGCTCTGTTCCATTGAAATCTCAGCTTATCACCTTTTCTTTCAGACTTGCTTCGTGCTATTGTTCTTTTCTCTTATAAACATTCAATCGAACATATGTTCATAATTTTTTTTTTTTTGGTTTCTACATCTCTTCCAGTTTTCAGAAACTGACTAATGAAAACAAAATAACAAAGAAATCAACAATCCTACTGAATTCAACAACTTATCTATCTACTATGGAAGCATTATTATTAGTCCCAATCATTCTGTATATGTGGTCTCTACTCAGATTGGGCGGCTTGGGTTTTTTCTTCTGGCGGCCATACAAAAACATTATCATCACTATTTTCTTACGTTTCTATCTGTTTCGGTGAAGTATGGCCGGGTCTACGCCTACTTATTGCCACAAATTTCAACAGAATAAGGAACTGAAGGAGAGACAGATATATAAGAAATCTCACTTCTGATGTCTTGCATATATAATCCACCCAAGAGTTAAAAACTTATTAGGACAAAGTGGGAGTAACAACTTTCTCAAACTATTGAACTAATTTGCTTTTAATGAAGCATGCACATGAACATTATTTGACTTGAAAGAGTGGTTAACATATATTATATAATATGGTGCAGTTAGGTGATCATCTTTGTTTATATATACTTGAGCTTAACAACTCCTAATGATGAACATGAGTGAAGATAAATCAAAGTTCTCCTCTCTATACCTCTATACATTGTCTGATTGAAGTCATGGTAGTTAAGAGGAAGACCCAAGTGGGATTTTTAATAATTCTCCGGAGAAAACTGAAAAGAGTGAGATCACTCTGAACATGGAAGTGGGAAGACAAGAATATATATACATATATAATAGATGAAGTTGAAATATCACCATAGATGCTTAACTGTTTTTCCTTTCTCATCATCTGCTAATAAGTTATTAAGCTATAATTCCCAATAAAATAATCCTGTGAGTTTATTGAAAACTTGAAAGACTGTATACATACCCATGTAGTAATCTGAAAGGAAAAATGATTAGCTTGAGTAATTAACCCTGCATTTAGGAAGTTGCTGATCAATACACTGAAGACAACTGAAACTTTAGGATAGACCATGATCCCTAGTTGTGTTTTAAGTTCTGTTGGTTTGTTAAGCTCTAAAGAAGAGAATTATATGTATATATTCAATGGTCTACTAATGAAAATCATTGCAGATAATCAGCTGAGATTGCTCAAAAAGAGAGAAGTTGATTAGAAAGCAAAGGGAGTGAAAGGGCTAGATTGTCATTTACTCCTTTCAGATAGACGGTTTACCACATGCAGAGCACTTTGATCAGACCCTTTAGATCCTAAATTTGTGGTAGAGAAGTTTGCCTTTTAATCTTCTGATTTCTTTCTTTAATAAGGGTTCTTGTTTCAGTAGGGTTTGGAAAAGTCAAAGGGATTCCCAACGAGGCTGGCTAACAAGTCAAACGAAGAATCCCCCATCATCCCATGTGCCTCCTTGGGGCATCAAATCCATATTTAATTTGCAGAAGATGTGAAGAAAACTATAAACAATTTCCTTAAACAAAAAGAGAATAGTAATACCCTCAGGCTCCAACAGCTGACCCATGATTTTGAATAAGTTAAGTTGATAGAAAGGACAAGGACTAGAATTTAACCCTTTTTCATCATCTTCTTCTTTATGAGAAGGAGAATCAAACTAAAAATAGCCAACACAGAAATATTAATCTTACCATTTGTTCTGAATATATGCTCTCAAGTCTCAACCTTTGGTGGTCGACACCTCTGATATCTTTTTAGTGCTTTTTTTTTTCTAGGACCCAGACAAAGTGTATGACAGCATCTCAGTTTTTATCTTTGAAGGATAAGATTCTAAAGAGTTTAATATGAAAGTAAAACTCAGGGATATGACTTCTCATTTTGTTGGAGTAAATAATTAAATTATGCTTCCATCCATGAAGCTCCAACTAGAGATGATGCTCGAAGCAGAACATATCATAATTATAACCTACAGAATTCAACTCATTTGGAAGCATCTAATATTATTCCAAAACAAATTTTAGCGTCAGACCAGTCTCTGTTTCTCACATAGTAAGTCTATCCAGAATCAATGAGCTGGGTGGGCCGGCCATGTGAAAGGGCATGAGTTGTGAGGAGCATCTTTGGAGTCTGGAGCAAAAGAGCATTAGGGGACTCTTCTCTGAAATTTTTATTAAACAGACAAGTACAGTCACTGCATTCCCAAGGCATCTTGGTTTTGGAAACCTCATAGCCAAATAGGTCAAAGTCCACTACATGTTACACATACAGATACAGTACGGTCAATTTATGAAAGAGTGCAAAAATTAAAAAGGTGGAGGTTGCTTACAGTTGATGCTTTCAACTTTTAACAGTTCAGTTTCAGTTAGTTGTTAGGATCCTATTCTCCACCTTTTTTTTTTAATATTTGTTTAAATTATATAATCATTAATACGAGCTTTTTTCTCCACTTCCCAGACCCACCATCCGCATCTATAAATGCACTTTCAAGTTTCAACCCCTCGCATCTTCAACTCCTCTGATCCTCTCTTTCATTCATCTTCATCTTCTGAATTCTGGGTTTTCTCTTTCATACCTCTCACACCTCTCTCTGAAGCCCAAAACCACATTTCTTTAGTGTAAGTTGCTCTTTCCCCACTCAACCAACTTCTTAGATCACCGTTTCTTGCTGATTCCCTCTCAGAAGCACGGAATCTGAAATGGGTCTCCCTTGTTTTCTCTTTCTTTTGCAGGAAATGGACTTCCTTGGTGTTTCCCTGATGGTCCTTCTGGCCATGTTGCAGACAGTTCATGGCTTTGGAAGTGGGTGGACTGATGCCCACGCTACATTCTATGGAGGTGGTGATGCTTCTGGTACAATGGGTAAGAATAAGATCATATCCCTTCCAAAATCATCTTTTGTTCTCTAAAAATGTCATCCTTCTGGTTTCTCTGTCATCCTCTCATCTCAATGTTTTGGTTGTTGAAGGTGGAGCTTGTGGGTATGGAAATCTATACAGTCAAGGTTATGGAACGAATACAGCTGCACTGAGTACTGCTCTGTTCAACAACGGGTTGAGCTGTGGAGCTTGTTACGAGATCAAATGTGTAAATGATCCCAAATGGTGCTTACCAGGATCCATCATTATTACTGCAACAAACTTCTGCCCGCCAAACAATGCTCTCCCAAACAATGCAGGAGGGTGGTGCAACCCTCCCCTGCAGCACTTTGATCTTTCTCAGCCTGTCTTCCAACGCATTGCTCAGTACAAAGCAGGGATAGTCCCTGTTCAATACAGAAGGTATGACCTTTCTGCATGAGATGTTTAATGATTAAAGTAAACATTTAAGCTAACTACGACCATATTAAAACAAAATTTTTCAATCTTCCAGAGTAATAGAAACCCATTTTCTCTCTGTAACTTCCACAAAACCCCTTTTCTTCCTATTGCTTAAAGCTCCCCAAACCTTAAGCCATAAATCCATAACTGTACGGTTCATTGGTTCTTTCATTCATCTCTTCAATTTCCATTTCAAAATTTACAAGGGTGCAGGGCAGAACCCACTTGTCTGGTTAGCATTAAAACCAGAACCCCCTTCATCCTCTCTACCTTCAAAGCTTCCAAACTCAAATTATTCATAAGTACCTCTTCCACCCCACTTATCCAAACAATGGCCCAAGCAATAAACTCTTGAAACTCAGCATACCCCAATTTACTTTGAATTCTCTGATCCCCTGATCTTTGTTTTCTCTCCCCCTTTATTTATTTATTTATTGTAGAGTTGCTTGCGAGAAGACTGGTGGGATAAGGTTCACCATCAATGGCCACTCTTACTTCAACCTTGTGCTTATCACAAACGTTGGTGGAGCTGGTGATGTTGTGGCAGTCTCCATCAAAGGCTCTAGAACTGGTTGGCAAGCTATGTCTCGAAACTGGGGCCAAAACTGGCAGAGCAACTCTTACCTTAATGGTCAGGCTCTCTCCTTCAAGGTCACAACAAGTGATGGACAAACTGTAGTCTCCAACAACGTAGCTCCTGCCAATTGGGCTTTTGGCCAAACCTACAGTGGCGGACAGTTTTAAGCCAGTCTCCTTCAAATTCTCCAAGAACTAACCCAAAGCACCTCCAAATTTAGCCTCTCTCCGCCTAACTTAGCCTATATATAGGGGTTGCAGTTCTTTTTCACTAATTACATATACAAGGTATGAATATAGCTAGTCGTTTCTATCTGGGGTGGCCTTTTTTGATATGGCCCTGAACGATTTCTATCTGACCGTGTACGTGGGCTTTAAGTGGCAATGCATTCACACACGCAGAAAAATTCGAAGGGTTGGTGTGGAGAGGTCTTTAGAGTATGTGGAAGACCTCCATTAAATCCAGAGAAGAAGCTTCTGTTGGATTATTGTGGTCGGTTAGATTTGGCTGAGGTGAACAACGTTTGTCACCCGCCCATAAATGTCTTTGTTTTTGGTTTTCTTTTACTTTTGCCTTTGCCAATGATGTCTGGCGGTATTGTCGTAAGATCGGAGAGGAGACAGAGATGGAGTATACATATGTATTTAGTGCAAGAGATCTTTTAGCTTTTATTATGTTATTAAGGTTTTGAACGAGTGATGAGAAAGGTCTGTAATCAGATTTTCATGGGAAATATATAAATAAAATGGGGGTGTTTCAAGTGCAATAAATGGGACTCTTTTCTTTCTTTGCTCCTGCACCTACAACACCTATTAGGAAAATTGATCGTTGAGGGGCTAGAAGAGCGGAACGGATGGTGGATTTAATAAGAAATGATTTAAACAACTATAGTAGCCATGGTTGGGACAATACTTAAATGATGATGATGATGATGATGATTCTCAGTAAATTGAACTCTCAGTGCAATAACTAGTAGCCATCTCTGTAGAAGTTGATTACAGAAAACAATGGCAGTGAAAATTGTAATCTCCTTTTTTGCCAGTAGTTAGTTAAGCCCAACGGTGGATGGTTCTTAACCTTTTTATTTTTGTTTATTTTTTATTTAGAAAGTATGGCAAATGGAGGGGTTTCAAAATTCAGAGGGAAGAAAAGCAAAAATATTGAAAATTAATAATTATTTGAGAAAAGGGGAGAGGTTGGGGGGGGGGGGACCAGGAGCCCTTTCACACAAAGCTCAATTTATTTTTAAATTAAATCATTTTTTTTTCTGCAAAACCTATTCCTCCTTTCATTTTTCTCACACATGTGGTTAGTTATTTTTAAATTAAATCATTAAAATATAAAAAATCAAAATAAAAGAAAACTTCTCTGGTCTTAATTATCTCAAATAAAATCCATCCATTATTCAAATAAAAACCTTCTTAGATGTTAATTGTTTCTAATAAAATGCACCATTACTCTCTCCAGCAAGATCTCTCTCTTCAATATAGTCAATGTTTGTAATGTCTTCCTTTGTCCCAATAAATTCCAAATCTATATTTAAAACAAGATTGTCGGTGCTAGCACCTTGTTTTGTCTATTTTTTTGTTAATTTCTTTTCTCTAAATGATGTAAACTCCCATGGTATAAGAGATAACACTGTTACACTGCTTCTTCCAAAGACTTTTCACATTCCAAATTAATTAATACTAACATTCAATGTACTGTCGTTACAATGATGTTAGTGGTCTTGGGTGCTTATGAAATGAAATTCACTTTGCAAGGTGTCAATCAATTGGTTGATAAGGTCTCTTATTGGTCGCAGCAGAGATTTGAGATCGAATCCCGCCTGTACTCGGGTTGGGGGATGGGTTACCCCCCTGGCTATGTGGCACTTTTGGGGACTCACAAATTGAAAAGAAACTTTATTAGCTTTGTGCTTTCTAACAAACCCATAACTTGGAAATGATTTACCCAAGTTCTCACTTTAATGGAAATTTCTTATTGAAGTCTTTCGGTATGGTAATGGTTCTACCAAATACCGGTTAAATAAGAAATTGTGAGAGATTGGTTGAGATTGAAATGAAAAACAGTTTTTCGAGTTCTAATGTAAGAGTTAGAGAACACAGAAAATCTTGCAGACTCACTACAATAAGCAAGATATATTAGGGCAAATGGATGATAAGTACAACCAAATTTGATTTTTGTTGATAATTGAAATTGAATAAGATCTTATTTATTGGATATATATATATATATATATATATATATATATATATATATATTATTTGACTAAAATTTGGTTTGCAATGGATTTTGGGTAGTATAAAGAAGTTAAATTTACAATGATTAAAATATTATATATTATTAGTAAAATGAATAAAAATGACTTTAATACTGCATTTCATGAACAAAATGAATTGAAAATTACATGTATTTTTTTTTGGGTAAAGAAATTCCAATACTAACAGAACCAAAACAAAGAGAGAAAGAAAACAACAAAACAAACAAACAACAACTAACCAAAACAAAAATTGGGACCGGAATAAAGGATCATTGTCTTCATCAATTTCTACCACAAGAGATTCAGGGGAAGCAGGGGGAGCATCTAGGGGTGTCAATGGACCGGTTTTGGATTGGACTCCGTCCAAATCAAAATTCATTTGGACGGACTGGACGGACCAATATGAAATATTGGATTGGACCAGGTCCATCCATAATGAATTTATATTGGATTGAGCCAATGAACATAGGTGTCAATGGATCAGGTTTGAGTTGAAACCAATCTAAATTAACATGAATTTGAACAGATTGGACAGTCTCTGGACCAGTCCAAAATGGTTCAAAATATTCACTGGACTGGATTGGACCAGGTCCATTTGTAATGGACCCACATTGGATTGGACCGGATCGGACCAAATCCAATCCAATTGACACCCCTAGGAGCATCTACAGAGGCGGGGATGTCCAAAACTCCTCTGAGTAAGAATTTCCTCTAACAGCCAGATTATGAGCTGAGCTAATTGAATCTCGATATGAACAACAGAAAATAACCTTAACAGCTGTGATAGCATATAAATCATGTAACAAAGGCCAGGCTTCAAGATCACAGTCAAAAGACTTGTGCGATAACACATTAACAACATTAATAGAGTCACAGAAAATGCACAGGTCTTGGATTCCAAGGCAAGACAACACTCTAGAACTGCCCAAACTTGAGCATCGAAAGCTGAAACAAACGTACAAGATCCACATTTTGCAAACAAAAACGCTCCATGGCTACTTGCAACCCAGAAACCAAAACCACTAGATCCAGAAGAGCAAAAGCTACCATCTGTCAAGGCTTTAAAACCAGAAAACTATTCCAACTATTCAAAAAACCAACTCCTTTCAGATGATTAATCCTGGAAGAGACGATTAATTTTGGAGGGGAAGCTCTCCTGACTTGCATCATCCACCTGTGAACAAGAAATAGAGATATGTGGGGATTAGGCATGGAATCTTCAAAAACAAATCCATTTCTGGATTTCCAAATGAACCATAAAATATGACAACTGAATGTTCAATGACAAAACCATCGGAGACTGCAAGAGTTGCCTCCTGAGTTAATCACCTGGCTCACCAATCAGCAAAAGACCCAAATGAATCAACATTAATATGGGTAAGACTGAGACTACTACCGAACCAAGTAGCTCTAGCATAGTAACACTGGAATAGAGCATGCAAAATGCTCTCAGTCTCAGAGGCTATCAACAATGATATTTCTTTTAAACAGAACATGATTCATAGCTATCAACATTATGGTATTGATTTGTTAATAGCAGCATTCTGTTAATTTTCTTATGGACAGACATGCCTAGGGTTGTTTGTGTTGAATTCTGTGTCCAACATAAGGTTATTTCCCTTGATTCCTTGAGCATGTTGTAAGCTTTCTCATAACAAGTAATAGCCATGTAGTTGTGGAAGAAGGGATTCTGCGGGTAAAATAGTTCAAGGTGAATGGTGTCCTTACAATATCTTAGGGAACCACTTCTTTTTTATTAATAGATATATGCATATACTAACATTATGATTCTCTCTCTCTCTCTAGTACAAGATATATTTAGTAGTTGGGTCAATTGTGGAACTTCCCTACATGAACCCACACATTCTTTTCCATATGGAGGGATTTGTGGCTGATTCAGATATATACCTGCCATCTAGGAAGGCACTTTGGGAATAACCAATTACATCATTTAAAACTAGCTTTAATCTGTTTGTGAAAGACATTGCAAAAGTTCTATAAATCACATTACATAAAGATGTTGGCCTAAAATGCTCAACTTTAACTTCAGTCGGTTGTTTTTTTATCAACGTCCTTACCTCCAATCTCCACCAACTTAGCACCTTTAACCTATTTCCCATATGACCACAATTGTAAAACAAGTTAGGAAGCTTTTCATATCTTCCACCATGGTTTTAATCTTCACTTTCACCTCTATCTTCAGGGGTTGGTTGATATTGGTTTCCACCCACACCTTGGTAAAGTTATTCATTTGTTGTGACTCCTAGGTGGTTTTATAAACCTTTTCAACTTTCTCAATCAGGTTGGTTGCCAATCTAAAGACCAATCTCTGATTTGATTGCTCCCACCGGGAGCCCTACTATACCAAGTGAATCTAGAAGAGTTTGGACCTTCTTCTCACATAGCACGCCTCACACTAACCTCACAGGCTGTTTTGGTCATACACATCTAGAACATCTTCTATATTTTTATGTGAGGTCGGTATGAGGCATGCTGTGTGAGGAGCAGATCCTAATTCAATCTAGAAACGACACGTGGATAAACTTATCTATTGTATCTTTGTGCTTTTCTTCAATGGTTCAATAAGTATTAGTTCATTCATAAAATTCCATGGCTGGCCTTCCATGACGTTCCTTGTATCTCAATTGTAATTAAATCTTAGGCCCCGTTCACTTTTTAGGAAGGTGTTTCTCGGGAAATACTTACCTGGTAAATGCATTTATCCATATTACTTTTATTTCCCAGGTAAATAAGAGAATGCCTGTTTTAGTCATAAAAATGCATTATTAAAAGGGGAGATTTTGTTCCATCCAAGTGTTGGCAACTTTCTTCCTAGGTGGAAAAGTTCCTTACCCACCTAAGAGATGGGTATCACTTAACCGGGTAAGTGATAACCAAGGGAAATAAATTTTCTATGGACCCTATTGATGGAGGCCATCTCATCAGGGAGGCCCATCTCATCATATGGGCGACAACTCATGGGAAGAATTCAAGATAAGCCAAAGAACTCAAAGAATCTAAGATAATTCAGGAATTCAAGATACATCAAGAATTCAAGAATTCAAGATCCATCAAGAATTCAAGAATTCAAGATAATCAAGAACTCAATAATTCAAGATAATTAAGAATCCTAGAGATCAAGATAATCCAAGACTTCCAAGATTCATGGATTAGATCCAAGAAGATCCAATGGTGAAGATCCAGCCAGAGAGTTCGATCCTATCAAGACCAAGATCAAGAAGAGTTCAATCCAGCTATGTGTTTGAGATGTTTAGATCAACTACAGTTTTTCTTTCCTAATTACTTTACAATTTCTAGATGTATTATAAATACTGCTATTTTCCAGTTAATAATCATCAATTCAGACTTCATATTTTCAGAATTTCTTCAGATTTTCTCTTCAATTTTTGCCACCTTTTCTCTCTCCTAGAGAAATCGTGTAGTTTTCACTAGAAACTAGTGTTCGCTCGGTGCTTGCATAGCCAGCTCCGGTTTTCATTG